AGACAGACAGAGAGACAGACAGAGAGAATAGAATGGTAGTTTTCCTGTTATTCCTCATACGTGCAGTGATATTAAAATCAGAAATACATATACGATATGCCGAGAGTTAACTAGTAGAACTAGTAGAAAGACAAGAAGACAGTACAGGGAGTTTTTTGTTTGTTTTTACCTGAGAGGAACTCTCTGTTGGTTTCATGCTAACCTCCAATGGGAGCTTTCTTACATCTGCTGCAGATTTGATGGTGTTGGTTTTCTGGCAGGGAACAAACAGAATATACATATGCTGTGGTGATAGACACAAACAGAGAGATTTAAAAAACAAAAAACAAAACAAACACAGACACACAGACAACAAGAGTTGGACAGGATACCTGCAAGGCCTCCAGCTTCTCCTGCTGCTGTTTGATTTTCTCTGCTAGTTCTTTTTGTTTGTCTTCAGCTGTTGGTTTATCTTTCTTCAAAACACCAGATGGGAGATTCTGTTTCTGTTCAGGAGCGTCACATCTGAAAACAATTTCCAAACAATATATAACAATATGTGAACAATTTATATAGAACATACAAAATATATTACCACACTAGTAGGTACTTTCTCATGGCACAAGCACTTCAGCTAATACATTATTCAAAGTTCGTTTGTTGTTGTTTTTTGTTTATTGCTGCAGAATTTCCAACTTCCGGTTGGATTTGAACTCCTCTTAAGTACTATCAGTGCATAGGGTTTTTCTTATCACTAGAAAAACTGAGAGAGGAAAAAAAAAAAGTGGTATACTAAATATACCCTGACATTTTGGTCACATTCGTGACTCCACAACAACCTCATCTGTAGGCACAAGAGGCACCTGTGGCAAAGGTGAAGCCAATGAAGATTTGCTATATTTACACTTAAAACTGAAGTGTCATTTATAACATCGGCTATTTGGAGGATACCATCAGACACCAGTACCTTCAACTATGGCACAGTTGAAGAGCTGACATGAACGATATGATGATATGAACAAACAAGCTATTTAACAACCCCCCCCCCCAAAAAAAAAAAAAAAAAAAAAAGCAAGCTGTGTGCTTGTAGGGTAACACATAAAATCCCTCTGAACATTTTGTGTGTTTAAAATATTTTTCGGACTCACCTATTTTTCACTGGACGAATTTGTGGCTTTTTTTTTTTTCCCAAACCAAGCTCGATTTTTCTAATACAAATGAATAGATCTCACCAATCAGATCACTGCATTTGGTATCAAGCGCACTCATAGCTGAAATTGCACACTGGTACTGAATCTACAATGATATGTAAATAATAATTACAATAATAATTTCACCTCGGAGAGCAAGATGCTGCTCTGGGGGTCAATCAGCTCTGCTAACATAAGGTCAAATTGCCCCACTGACATCCTTTTACACATGTATGAAAGCCACAATATAGCTTCCACTCCCAGATCAAACCATCATATTCTTCCTGCTGCTGCTTTGTCATGAGAACTGAATGAACCCAGAATCTCTATTTAGGAACATCAGGACAGGCTCATCATTGCTTCATAACTACTTCATTTTTTTTCTTTCTTTCTCCAAATTCCTTTTTTAGGGCAAATTTTCCACAAAAATGCAACACATTCAGTGTGTATATATGTTCGGATCCGTAAAATTAGGAATTTGTGTCGCTTTTTGGCTTTAATACTTTAAATAAAGTATTCTTATAAGGTAGAACAGTCACTGCCAGGAATAGCAGAAAAATTTGTACATGGTCATATGGTGGACTACACAGAGATTTCTCGTGCTGGTAACTGGTGAGTAAAAAATCTATCCAATGAGCCTCTGATGGAGGATTTTATCTTCTCCAGTTTTAAGAGTCCTAAGATATCCTGTAGCCAGACTTTAATTAATGGTGGCTGAGATGATTTCCACAACAACAAAATTCTTTTCTAGCGATGAGAGAAGCAAAGGCAATAAGGTTCTTTTGAATAGCTGTAGTATGAAGGTTATTTGGTGGTTTGCCAAATATAGCGATATGTGGAGTCGGAGTCAATTTTATACCCAATATATCCAAAATTATTTTGAAGAATTGATGCGAAAATTCAGACAACCTAGGGCACACCCAGAACATATGAGTAAGATTGCAAGGTATCTGTGAGCATCTGTTACATTTATCATCAAATGTATCTGGGTATAATTTTGAGAGTTTTTCTTTACTGTAGTGTAATCTGTGGAAAACTTTAAATTGTATTAATGAAAGATGAATTAATGGCCCAAGTATCATCAATTTCTGTTAAGACCATGGCCCTCTCCTTAGTGGAGAACAAGATGATCTTTATAACATCCACTCAGTAGTTTAATGTCAGCTTTATTTATTTTAGTTGCTAAGATCATATCATCACTGTGCTGCTGTAAATATTTCTGCTGCTTCTGAATAAAGTAACAATTCAGTTGTATAATTTCATTATAACTCTGTTCTAAATTATACTAAAAACAGTTTTTTAGCAATCAAAAATAACCAATAAGTTTAATTAGAAACTTGATAACCGTTTTGCTTAGTGAGATGAGATAAGAAAATGAAGTTATCTGAAAAAGCTCATTGTGTCAGTACCTGTCCTGAGTGCTGTCAGGGTTCATGAGACACACCCAACTGTCTGGGTAGCGTTTGTCCACTGCATCCATCTGGAAAGGCAGCGTTCTCCACTTTAAACATTTATCTTAAAAAAAGAAGAAAAAGCATAATCAGAGAGTGAGTTTTCTGCAGGAAGCTGAGATACTGCATGTCCTCTAAATGTGTGTGCTCAATTTACCACACTGAATAGTAAGTGGTATCTCCATGGCACGGCGTCTCTTGTATCTCAACTCTGATGATGGAGGTGCAGACCAGCTGGCAGACAGATATCCAAACTCATCCCAGAACTTCACTATGCCTTTCTGTGCTGCATGACAAACACAGATGCAGATGTGAGATCAGTTGATACAGTTGCAAGTCATTTGCTATAATTAAAATAAGTTGAACCAAAGCTGAATTTTTATTTAGGGAAGGAACCCTTATCCATCCATCCATTCGCTTCCGCTTATCCTTTTCAGGGGCGGGGGGCGCTGGAGCCTATCCCAGCTGTCATAGGGCGAGAGGCGGGGTACACCCTGGACAGGTCGCCAGTCTGTCGCAGGGCTAACACACAGGGACAGACAACCATTCACACTCACATTCACTCGCACATTCACACCTAGTGACAATTTAGATTAATCAATTAACCTATCCCCACAAGTTGCATGTCTTTGGACGGTGGGAGGAAGCCGGAGTACCCGGAGAGAACCCACGCAAACACGGGGAGAACATGCAAACTCCACACAGAAAGACCCCGGCCTGATGGAGGAATTGAACTCAGGACCTTCTTGCTGTGCGGCAACAGTGCTAACCACCGTGCCACCGTGCTTAATACAGCTAAAATGAAACTTATACTTCACCTCTGACTCAAACATTTCTCAATCCAATATCACAGGTACCGGTAATATCACCTTAAAGCTCCAGCAGCTGGTAGATCAATAATGGTGATTACAACTGTATCTGAATTGTCTAACACTCTAGCAGGATAATGTATTAATCATGGAACATGCTTAAAACTCCCAGGAGTATGGGGGGTATTTTTACTTGTAATTTGAGGTGCAGCAGTAAACAGAAATCCAGCAACTTCAGGGAAGCTTACCAATGTTTGTGTCCTTCCAGTACTGAGCCAGATGCTCCCCCATGGATTTTAGTAAATGTCGATACTCTTTAGCATCCGCAAAATCTTGTTTGTTGTGAGTAGGCTCTAGAACTAAATATGGGACATCCACTACTCCAACTACACCACCACATGCCCTAAGACACATGAACCAAATAGTTTAAAATTACAACTTAATCACTTGCTCATTTCCTGCCATTTTTCACTTTTAGTGCATTTTACTTACATGCCTCCCTCCAGTTGAGGACCAGTCTTTTCATACAACTTAATGAGACGAGAGCAGTTGTACACAAACATCCCATCCAGGTCCCTCTGTTCAATGTTCACTCCAAATATAAAATTCAGCTCCTTGGGCTCCTTTAATGCTCTGAAGAACAAGGAAGAAACGTAGATTGGTAAGAAATACATTTACATAAAATTTAGATGCCAAATAATTTGGTCGGCAAACAAAATTAATGTACAAATCTTATTTTGAGGCATTTTTTAATATACATTTCCAGCCAAACACAGGAACAGAATTTTAGCAGCCTACAATCTATAAAGTTTGCCATTTTTGTTAATCATACTTTTGTTTGGCTTCAAGAATCCTTTTTTTCATGTCAGCATCTCTTCGCAGCATCATGGCTGCATCTTGAACTTTTCTCAAAATTGCCTGATGGAGTAAAAGGAGGGAGACAAAGAAGAAATTTAACGTCATCGTTTTTTGGTTGTGAATCAACCTTTTCTTAAATTTCCCTGTTTCTTTAATAATTGAATAATTAAAACACTTTGATGTGTTTGTCATTAACTGTTGCTATACAACTAAACTTGCTTTGCCCAAAACCCGTTTTACATAAACACTACACATCTGCACTTGACAATTAACCAAAGGTTTTCCTTAGCTTACCCGTGAGTCTTTTGATAGGTCCTCTCCTAATCTGGCCTCCAAAGCCATGCGTTTACTCTCTGCCTCTCTGGCCTTCTCCTCCGCTGAAATATACACCACATATTATTCTCACATGAACTAAAGCTAAAGCAAACTTTAATTAGCAGGATTAATAACCCACTATCTCACCAATCTTTGCAAGATGATCAGCTTTCTTCACTTCTTGCTCAGCACGGGTCTTGAACCGAGTTGATGAGTATTTATAACACCTTTAAATAAAATAGAAAGTCCAATTAAAGTGTGAACACTGGAATAAACAAGTTACAGAGAGTCCATATGTGCGTTACTATATTACCTTGGTTTATAAAGACAGCACGAAAGTCTCTTAGTCCTGACTTTATGACCCTGGATAAAAATCCTCATGCGTGGGTCAATGTACAAAACAGCAGCGTATGCCCTGAACGATCTTCTCTCTGGCTTCCTGTGAACAAGAAGTGGTGCATTAGACATGCTGTCATCAAACTATTTTTACTTTGTGGTTTTCTGCCTCCTCCAACTAGTCAACTTGCAGGGCTCTACCTTTAAACAACGATAAATGATCAATATTAAGCTGAATCACTATTAGCTTGCCAATAAAAATACCCAACTCAACTTAATATTTTAAATTAATATTATAAATTCATATGCTAATGCCATAGAGATCCCTTGCTATCCCCTGTGGATAAACAACACCCCCCAGCACAATCAGCAATTATTTGTGAAGTGAAGTCATTACAAACATTTTGATTTTGAAATTTGATCACCATTAAGTTTGAGTTCATCCTTGAGTCCAGCTGGACATTTGATGAAATTTTAAACTGCTTTCTGATACTGAAGTAAAAACCACCAAAATCGTATCTGTGAGCCACAATAATAATGACATCATAACTAACAGTAACAACTGTACTTACACTCCTTCAGCAGGTGTCCCAGCCATCAGTATGTCCTGGTGATCCGTCTCTACATCCAGCTCTGGTTCTCCATTGTCCATCAGCTTCAAATTATAGATTATCACTAGCGTTCCTATAGATAATATAAAATACCACACCAAAAGTAAGTAACAACATGTCAATTTGTCAGTTCTTCACATAGTGATGCACATTTAAATGCTTACCGCTGTTGCCTTCTATTTTGTTGAACTGCTCCATCAGCTGCTTTTCATTTTTAAAAGGTGAGTATTTGAAGATCAGTTCGGTCTCTATGGCGTACTTTTCTGGATCAGACGTCAGCGGCTCCTTGGTCTTCATATCCCAGGAAGGAAGAGGCACTATCACCTGTAGAGGGAGGGGGATGAAAACCCAAAGTAACCCAGAGCAGTTAGCTTTCCACATGTTTCGGAATCTGACAAATGTGATCTTAAATCAGTTTGCTGGAGAACCACGTGGTTTCCAAACTACACACATTACACCATGCCCTTATTTGTTTAACAAAAACTAAGGCAAAATGCAGAAGCACTGTCTACTCCGATTTTAGAGCCAACTTTCAGCATTTCAATCAGGCTGAGATCTGAACTTTGACTGGACCCTTCCAACACTTTGATTTGTTTCCTTTTTTTGTCATTTGATTATAGTTTTGCTGCCATGCTTGGGATCAATATCGTGTTAAACGACCCAGTTTCAACCAAGCTTTATTTTTTGGAAAGATGATCCTAGAATACTTTGGTATACAGAGGTCACCTCAATGAGCCCGAGATGCTCAGGTTCTGTTGCTAGAAGACAAGCCCAAATCATCACCCCTCCACCACTGTGCTACGCAGTTATGAGATCTTTGTGCTCATATGCTGCATTTGGTTTTCATTTGGTGCTGTGTATTATGGTCCAACATCTCCACTTTACTCTTGTCTATCCCAATGACATTGTTTCATAAGACTCGTGGTTTCAGATGTAAATGTGCAAATCTAATCTGAGCCGCAATGTTTATTTGTTTTGTTTTAAGAGAAAGGAAGCTTTGTCCTGGCATCTCTTTCAAACGGGTCATACTTATTTTGTCTTCGTCTAATTGTCTGGTCATGAACTTTAACATACTCAGAATCTGAGATGTAGCTCTTGGTTTGTTTGTTTTTTTGCAATTTCTGAGGATTTCATAGTCTGACCTTGGTTGCAGTGTAGTTAGTTTCTCACACACTGCTTCTGCATTTTTGCTTTTGTTGTTGTTGTTGTTTTTTTTAAACAGTTTAATATAACATATGTTCAATGTCATATCATATAAGTGCCTTGAGGCGACTTTTGTTGTGATTTGGCGCTGTATAAATAAAATTTAATTGAATATCAGATGAACATATTTTGCCCATCTGAGGTTTTATTTAGCTAATTTTCCGACCGATTGATTTTTTTTATTATGTCCTGATGCACAAAACTTTACAAATGAAAGTGTATCCTTTCTTTTTCACATAAATGTAGATCACTTTTTTACATCCAAATCAATTATATACAAAAATGTATCACTGAGCCACAATTAGTAATCATTTCATCCGTTGTTCCAATCTTCCATTAGGCCAGTGGTTCCCAAACTTCTTTTGCTAAGCCCCCCTTGTTTAACAAGAAAAATGCCCCCCCTCCCCCCCGCGCACAAACACATCCTCCAACCACATACACCCATATTTTGCACCATTGCGGTTTATTTCACACCTCAAACATTTAGTAAACAATTAAGCAAATACAAGTAAACTGCAATAAATTACAGGTAGCAATAAACTACTAACTCTTTTATGCTACGTCCACACCTACACGGGTATTTTTGAAAACGCAGCTGTTTTCGTTCACACGTAAACGGCGTTTCGAATCAACGAAAACTGCGATTTTTAAAAAAAATCCTTTTTTGCATTTACATGTGGACGAGGAATACAGAGTTCATCACGCAACGTCAAAGGTATGTGCCTTTTTTCACGTCACACTGTGCGCCACGTTATTGTTTACATGAGATGAATTGCAGATAGAGACAAAATACTGTTAATCTGACCATCTTCAGTTTTTAAACGCTTACATATACACACACGCAGTTACTGTCCCTCCATTTACAAAGGCAGAGGCGTCACGGTGTAATTATTTTAGTATTGTAGTTGTTTTTTTCCTGTGTAATAATATTCAACATTGCTATCAATACATTTTTCAAAAAATGCCTCTCTGTGCAAAATGGGTTCAAAAACATAAACAGCTGTGGGATACCGTTTGTCCGTGATTTGAACCAGGGAATAAATCGTGGCAGGATCAGCCTGATATTATTTGTATCCCACTGTAACTTTACTGTATAAAGAGCTAACATGTCAGGAGTAGTTAGTCATTATGAGAAGTGTTTGTGAACTAAAAATCAAGAATGTGGGATGTTGTTTGTCTGTGATTTGAACAGCCCAGCGCTGCTCCCGACGAAGGGAAAACCAATTCTGCAGGGGAGACCTACCTCGGCACTTGTGCAGGTGAAACCAAAGGGAAGATATGCTGCACCATATTTTCTAGTCTTTGGCTTGGAAGGAAGCTGGTTTGGAAACATATTCAGCGATGCTTCATCTCCTGCTTTACGTTTGTGTGGGCGCCCCATGCTAGCAGTGTCCAAGCGTTTTGGAGGGTTTTTTTTCCCTTTTTATTCCGTGCCCCCCCTGCAATGGCTCTGCGCCCTCCTCCCTAGGGGGTGGGCCGTACACTTTGGGAAGGTCTGCATTAGGTCTTGATTTATGCTATAAGATATAAGATTGTTGATATGACTGTGACAACCTTTGGTGTTTTAAATTTATTTAGAAGTTATCTAAATATTAATATTACACAATTTGCATTTTGCAGTGCTGTCAGTTTTTGTTCCATTCTTTGTATTTGTCCAGGGATTTACAGCATTATTCAAGTAGGATGCTGTAAAATTTCAACATGTTTCTGAACTGAGCAGAGAGCACGGAGTACTGTTCACACAGACTGAAAGCACACACAAGCATGAACACACAGGTGTGAATATCTAGACACATATTCAAAGTACACTTTGAAATGAATGTGTGGTGAGTGGCTAAAGCGTATCTAACAAAACTCGTCTCTAAGCGTTTCATGACTGCCACTGACCTCATCCAGACCCTCCTCTTCATGGAAAGTCCTCGACAGGAAGAGGCAAGTCAGCGTGTCGTTCTTTTTTGTGAACAAAATAAAGTCTTTTCCGATGCGCATAGAGCCCCTGTGGAAACACACAAACTTGGTAAATATGGAAATGCTCGTGTACCAACTTCGTGATCAATACCAGACAGGAACTGGAAAAACAACTCACGATTTCAGTCCGTTTCCATACTGGCCAATCTGAGTGGACTCAGGAGACCGTTTGTTTGACTTTCCAAACTGAATCACATGGGTTGTCTCACCTAAGAAAAAAGCAGTTTAAGGACACAAATTATACACTGTATGTAACCATTGGCCTACAAAAACCTTGCTTTAAATTTGCTCTTTGATCATTTAGTCACACTTACTTGGGTCCATCCCAGTACCATCATCCAGAAAACAAAGCATGTAGCCACCCCTCAGCTCTGTTTTTTTTTCTGTCACACAAGCAGGAAGTCAAAAGACAGATATGAAAAACATTGACTCACTGGATAAGTTTCAGTATATGAAATTGGATATTTTACTCTGAGGTCTACCTGTGTAGATGTCTATACGTGTGGCATTAGCATCTCTGTGAAAGAAATAAAATATATGAGATTTTCTAGATAAAAGGTATCAGGTTAATGCAAGTTTTTCCCATACTCGATAATTTATTTAAAAATTGTGCTGTGAATCATAACAGGTACCTTGAATTGTCCACAAGTTCTGCCAAGGCTCCAAATAAGAACTCATGTGTTGTCCTAAGAGTTAGACCAAATATTCCATTAATAGAGTAAAAACTGACAAGGGAAGCTCATTAGAGAACAAGGACACATGGGAGATGCTTGGTGACAGCATCTGAACTCCACAGATAGCAAACATACGATTATTATTCTGTTATAAAAACTGTTATTTCTCAAGTCTGCTGACACGTGTCAGCATAAAATGAAGAACTATCAGTTAAGCATGCATTTCCTGGTTAACTGTAAAACTATCTGTTCAGCTTCAAGGACTGACTATCCACAGTTCACCTGACAGCTAATGACTTAAAATGAATTATCATTATAACAAAAAGAACAACCAAAGGGTGCTGCGACCTACTTTGAATATAAGCCACATATACGTTGAACATTACATACCACAGAAGCATATACCAAACTTGTCTTTTTTTCCTGAGTCATTACTGATCAAACTGAGTGATAAATGTCTGCAAGCAGCCAATATCACATGATTTTTTTGACAAATAACTGAAGCAAGCACATTTAGCTTCATTGCAAAATTTGTGACGTGTCTATACTCTGTTCTGAGCCTACACCGTCAATTCCACATATTATACACAAAGGCACTATCAAGTTCAGAAAATAAAAATAGCTGATTATATCTAACAAATTTATTATAACGTTGATGTGGGAAACTGGCAAACAATTTTCCCCCCTTGTGACAATAAAGAAAATGCATAACAATAAAGAGCAAAAACAAAAAGAGTAAAAGAATGGTAGCAGCATCAGCTATTAAAATAAAAACCAGCATAGGTTTTGAATTGTGAATGCATACAGACAGAATGGAAAGTATTACTCATGGAAGGTAAAGTTGTTTTAAATATAAAATGACATGTAGCAAAATGAGGGAAACGTGCTCTAATCGTCTTTCTGGACTATATCTTATTTTCTATTCAACAACATTGCTGGGCATCTTGCAAAAATAAGTAGGTGAGGTGGTGCAGTGTATTGTGTGTAGGTGGTTGCTAAAGTTCTCTTTAAGGCTAACTAGCTGTAACTCTGTGTATCGTGAAGTTCTTACGGGCAAATTAATTCCCAAAAAGTTGGTACTTACGAATTTGTGTGCAGGTATTCAAAGGTGAGCTGAGCCCTGCTCAGGTTGCTGTAGCTAGAGTAGGCCATGGTCACTCACGATTGTTAACTAGGTACTTCCTGGTAACCTCCACGTCTTCTTGCTGACTGACCAAGCCCTAGTTCAGGGCTTTCATTCTAAAAAAGGAAAGAAAAGATCAAAAATACTGTTGATTTGCCTGCGTGTATCTTCAATCAATTCACTGACATAACGGAAATGACATGACATTAGCTAATGTTTATACCTTAGAACAAGTCAGAGGAGACACTCCTGCGTAATTACAAGTCACCCCGCAGGTGAAGGTACCAGCAAGTAACACGTGGGAGGCCTGCTGAGGAACAACAAAATGTTATGATTAGGCGAAAAGAGCGTCTTTAGGCACGGCTTGAGCAACGAAGACATTAACGTGCATTCGTTTAAGAAGAAGTCAGACCCTTGCCTCGCTGGGTTACTGTAAAATATGACTAAGTCATGTTTGGTTAAGAACATGACATCAACAGTTCAGACGTTTTGCTGCAACTGTTATTAACGGCATGCTAACATTAGCAGCTAGCCGACATTAGCGCAGGAATGTTTATGAGGAAACGGTAGCTAGCTAGCTTTACTGTGGGAAGATGAAGCTAACGTTAGCCGTATCAATTCCTTTCTGCCAGACATTTTCAGATGACCTCGACTTTGCACGCTATAGTTAGTCCAAATACTTCATAACGTTACGTTTTGTTTTCCTTGACATAAAGCAATCCCCGAGGCCGCGAAGAATCCAACTACCATCAACGTCGATGGTTGGTTCTCTAGTTTCCCCTGATCTGCGCTAATCCCGCCTCTATTTTTCGATAATCACCCAATAGCTGTGGACAATAGGAAGGCACCGCGTTATGATTCTAAACCATGATTGGAGGACATCTCGTTACGTAACAAAAGAACATACCGGTGAACCAGTCTGCTGGCGCCTAGAGAGACCTTCAGAAGTTCATTGCGTTAAGATCATAATCTATACTTTTGGGGCCATAAAATCAAAAGTATGCTCACAGTTAAAATACAAACAAAAACACACTGACAATTCACCTTAACCCTAATTTTTATTTTATTTTAGCTACAGCAGTTGAAATGCTGATGAAACATTATGATTATTTTATAATAATTCTTCTACAGACATGTAAAATATTGAATTACTATCCATCCATCCATTCGCTTCCGCTTATCCTTTTCAGGGTCGCTGGGGGTGCTGGAGCCTATCCCAGCTATCATAGGGCGAGAGGCGGGGTACACCCTGGACAGGTCGACAGTCTGTCACAATTGAATTACTAATTTTACAAAATCCTTATACGTCCTTTCTTTCAGACACTTAAGGAAACAGTGAAATTAAAGAAAAAAATAATTTCCTCTTCGATTTCTGTTTCAAGAGGCCTTATATCAGAGAGAAATATGGCACTCGCATAAACCTAAAATTAAACTTTCGTGGTGGTAAATCCAAAACCTTCAGGTGGATAGAAAGATATTTAAATGATGCTTAAAAATAATTGCACAAGCAAAATGTATTTGAAGTTTTAAATGTCACTAAAAACTGATGTCACTCACCTTCACATTCCCCTTAGCTTGGCTTTAGCCTTTATTGACATTACAGTTACAGTACAATACAGTGCTTACTGTAATACCTGTGTTTGACACTGACAAATGAATCACATTAGTCAACAAAACAGCCCAAGTAAAGCTATTCCTTCTACAGCAAAGAAACATGTTTGAAACAGCACGACTGCAGTCATTTGTTGCTGAGAAGCGTAAAACCCTGTAGAAAAACAGTTCATAGCACTGCTAACTTCTACACACACACACACACTATTTACAGTGCCCAATGATCTGTTAATACTTTGTTATTAAACAAATATAAGGCAAATATAATAGCAATTTTAACCCACGTTTCATCCATTTTCTTCAGTCTTGAGCAATGTCTTCATCACCACCTTATCATAACATTTTTGTCTTTTATTTTGAAAAGCACATCATAAATAATAAATTATAACTCATTTTCTACCATGGCCATGTTTCTCAAAATGATTTTACATATTGCACATTCGTAATGTAGCAAAACTTGTGAGAGACAGATAAATGGGTTCAAACTGTTCCAAGAGAGGTTGCTGTACCCTGACTTTAGTCCCAAGTATGAATTTAGGAGAGCTTTCTCCAAAGCAGCATTATACAAATATTTTCACAGTTAGTAGTACAAACAACAAACCAGCTTCTTCTGTAGGCTGTAGTTAGGCGTAGCCCTCTCTTTCCAACCATCAACTGATTTAATCGCTCAGCTGTCTATTAAGGGTTCCTGTAAATAAAGTAAAGTAGCAAAGTTAGGTTAAATAATCTGTATGGATTTCTCAGTAAAAAGGTTCTACCAGGACAGGGCTCCCTGTCCTGGTTGTTGTGTCCTTGGGCAAGACACTTTACCCTACCGCCTACTGGTGTTGGCCAGAGGGGCCGATGGCGCGATATGACAGCCTCGCTTCTGTCAGTCTGCCCCAGGGCAGCTGTGGCTACAACTGTAGCTTGCCTCCACCAGTGTGTGAATGTGAGAGTGAATGAATAATGGAATTGTAAAGTGCTTTGGGTGCCTTGAAAAGCGCTATATAAATCCAATCCATTATTATTATTATTATTATTATTATTAAAAACCGAACGATCACGACTTACACTTTGTTGGTTCAGTCCATTCCATTGGTTGCGGCGTTTTAGTGCATGTGGTTGACAAGCAGCTATACAGAGCATCAAACAAACTCCAAGGAGACACACACTGAAGTCCAACAGATGTTGCACTGCCACACTCTGTTCCTCCTTTAGAAGTAGGAAATAAATGAGGGTACAAAACAAATCTCTGAATTGTGGCTAAATCAGCTATGCTGTTCAAGTGCAACATACCGTACCTGTGTTAACATGACTGTAAGAGTGGTATCATCCTTGAAGTTCAGACTGTAGCAGGTTGGTGATAATGTAGGCAGCTGGTTACTTGCCTCCACATAGAAGGATGAAATATTTTTCTCTGACTCAGGGCACTCTGGAGGACGACTTTATTAAAGTACATAACATTTATGAGTTTTCTGACTTTTTAGGTCACTGAGGAAAAGTTGTAGTTACACTGTAATTAAGTTAAGAAACATGTTCTTTACAGAACATGATAAACTTACACACTTGTTGGCAGGAGGTCACTTGGGGCACTTATAGTGAGGCAGGTGTAGCTACCATTGTCAGATAGAAACTCTAGTGTCAAATTAACATTTTCATTGCCTGGGGAGTAAAAAATTACAATCAGAATGTAAGGTGATAAAGACTTTCACATAATATCACACCCATAGCACTCCATGGCAAAACTAACCTCCAATAAGCAGCTGACTGGCTCTCAAGGTTGTATGTAGACTGAGATCTCTCAGCGAGACACTCGGAGAGCTGGAAGTCACAAGAGCAAGAGGAACCTTGAGATGTAAATGGGTGACAGAAGAAGGACTCTTTGCTGAGTTAACTGAGGTCTTTCTGTCCTCTTCCTGCTTGATAAGAGGTGATTGGACTGAGGAATTAAGCTCATTTGCTTTCACACATAGGTGGAATGTTGATAAGGAGGACAACACACGGTTCCAGTCCTATGAGAATAGTAAAGTGCACAAATTACACAAAGATACAATCAGGGCACAGAATGTGTGGGTATATTCAGTCACAGCCTGCACAGCATCATATTTCCTATGCACACCAGCACCAATTATCTATTTAGAGAAGGCATGGAGGAAAATTAGCTCAGTTTACTAAGGAAACCTACTATACTCATTCCCAGCTCCATATTGTTATCTTTGGACTGATCTAAAGTTTCTTTGCACGAGTCACTGCTCTAAAAAAAATCCATATTTGTCTGACATCAGGCCTTGATTCATTCTCAATCTGAACCCAGTCATTTTAACTCCCCTATCTTTAAGGTACATTTCTTCTGATTAATCTGATTAATTGCTCCTCTGTATAGAATATTTGAGCCTCAAAAAGAACCAAGAGTAGAAAAAAAATTTGATACAGAGAGCTTAGAGCAGTCTGCAACCTAGGTTTTGACACAGGTTGATTGGACGTAAATATTTGAAACTTCAGCCATGTTTATTGTGCATCCTCTACTCTAATATATAGATAACAGAAAAGAGCAAAAACCCAAAATTGCTATAGTTAAAATCACTCCTCACCTTTGTTATATCAGGGTTAGGCAGAGTGTGAGTGTTGCTGTAAAAACTAAGGCAGATGAATGAAATAGCCAGAGTTAGCAAACACAGGAAAAATGTAGTCCCTGGAGGATTCTGTGACACATAATCTCTAAGATTAGTCAGCGGCTGCCAGAAACCCATCATCAAGCTCCACAAAAAGCAGAGATGTGGCGAGCTGTAAACAGAAGAGACAAATTTCACATAACTTAAGTAATGTACCTTTTCATTATTATTAGGCAAGTTCAATACATCTGTTCTTCATAGAGGAAGACAATTTCAGTAGGAAACAAATGGAAGAGAGCCTGGAGAAATAGAAGTATGCAAAGGAATGAAAGTCAGTAGAAGAAGAGAGAGTATGTGTGTGAATGAGAAGTAGACAGGTGGAGTGAAAGTGAAGCTGCAAGGAGCAGGGGTAGTGAAGGTGGACCTGTGTAAATAGATGGGGTCAACCATTCTAAACAACAAACATTGCAAAAGACAGGTGAAGAAGAGAGCACATAGAGACGGCAGGATGGAGTCAGGTTTTAGGGGTGATTTGTAACAGTAGGATAGCAGCAATAGCAGAAAGAGAAGGTTTACAAGATGCTAATGAGAAATGCTATAACTTTGGTTTGGAGACAGTGCCGCTAACAAAAAATCAGAATTGTAGGGGGCAGAGTTACTCAGAGTGACCACAGGGACAATTCATGGATTCATATATACATGCAGGGGCAGGGGTGTGACAGAGGAGGATGCTCGGGTCAGAGTAATATGAGGCAGATTGGAAGTCCTAAAAGGAGAGAAGTCTGTTCAAACCCACTCCAAAATGCTTTTAGCAGAGGTGGGTGCCTATGTCCCACATTTTAGCCAGTGTTGCCCTCTTGGCTGTTTGACCTTTACTCTCCAGAATAATCTCTGTTCAGACTTTGGCACTGGGAAACCAGAAAGTTTATCTCCACTCACCTAACATCTAAATGTAATCTTCCTTGTTGGGAACAGAAAGCCAATCTTGGTCCAACAGACAGGCACCCTGTAGTGCAGTGCTACAGATAGTGTACATAAATAGATATAATCATAAATATATACACAACAACAACTTTGGCATGAACACACATGCTCTGTATTGCACATACATGTAGACATCGTGTATGAAGCAGTTAAACTTTTCTAATGAAAAATCTTTGCATGGATCACCTAGTTATGTTCATAGTGAGCATTAAGCTGTAGAAAATCTGTAACTTTTATTGTGGAAATACTATATAGCTACTGCTTAACAAAACAGGATATTCGGCATGTCTTTTCTCGAGCGGACCTCGTTTTCAACATAACCACATTTAGTTTGAGCAAAGCTGAAAGCACGTACTCTCTGTCACGTGACTGTAGACAGTTAAACGCTTACTTATAAAAAAAGAGAAGACATCTATGTATCAATTACATTAAATCAATACTCTACGCAACAGGAGACGTACAACTAGTCTAACAACCAGCTCTACTGGCAAAGATCACCGCTCTTATGACGCTAACTAGCTAGCTTTCTGAAATATAACGTCATACCTCGAGCTCGTATGCTTGTTCACGTCTCCGCGCTTGGTAAAATACACCGGAATAGTTTCTTAAAGACAAGTAAACAAAAGTTCGACATTTAAGAAGGAAGTTCAGCAGTTAAATAGTGACACGACACCGCTGTCACTTTACGACAATACACTGCTATGACGACAACAAGGACCAGATCACATGACTTTAAATGGGTTTTTTAAACGGGGGAAAAGCAAGGACACAGCAACAGCAGATATCATTATTGTTATCTTTATTCTTATTTTGAGCATTAGAAGGCAGGATAACACTGGCACTAAATGTTTATTAATGTGCATGTGGTGTTATTTAAATATTCACATTTAGCTTGACGAGTTTGCCACTTCTCAGAGTTCGGGTCATCGAAATAAAGTGTTTACAGGAAGCATAGTTATAAGAAACTTTTTTGAGGGGGGGCAGAGAAACATACAATTAATTTATTCTGATTGTTAATAGGGTTTTGAATGTTTCAAGTAAAAACATTTTAAGGCATCTGCGTAATTCACCCAAACGGGTGTTTTCTTTTATTGGCCTTGCTTCAGGAAATGGACGAAGCAGACTCTGATGGAGGAGAGGTTTCATTTGTCCAGCAGGCCACTGATACCTCCTCAGAAGAATCTGAAAAGGAGACGGAACAAGAACCCGACATGCCTCCAAGGAAGAGGCCCCGTGGTACTGGGAAGCCCAGCTGGAGCCACACGGCAAAAGACGGCACTGTGTGGGTAGAGGAGGACATTGGAATGCCCAGTGCAGTAGAAAATCGCTCGTGCTTCACTGCGCAAGCTGGACCCACAGAGTCTGCTAAGGTTTGTCATTGCCATATTACATATGATATTTATATAAACCCATTTAGAGTGAGGTTCATGTAAATTTACCATTCTCTATTTGTTTATCTTCCGACAGCTAAGATTACAAGTGTGCTCTAAAGCTTCCTTTGCCTGTTAGACGTGGGAATGCTGCAGACCATCAAGAAGTGTAGGGTCCATCAAGCCCGCAGAACAGAGCCGTGGACTGGAATTTGTCAGTTCATGAACTGATGGCATTCATTTCAATTCTGTTTGTAAGAGCAATCATGTGTCCCCTTGGTGCCATTGTGGATTGCTGGTCAGAAAGATTTCTGGTGCCAGTAATCAAAGAGACAATGCCCCGAGATAGATTCATTTCAGTTATACAACACCTTTGATTTGATGACAAGGACAACGCGGGCAGAACGGGTGAAAACAGACAAATTTGCGGCGATCTCTGACATCTGGACACGCTTCAACGAGAACTGTGCTAAGAGTTTCACTCCAGGAGAACACATGACCATAGATGAACAGCTGTTCCCTATCAAGGTTCGTTGTCCATTCACACAGTATATCGCAACCAAGCCAGACAAATTTGGGATCAAGTTCTGGATGGCCACGGACTTGGACACCAAATATGTCTGCAGTGCATCTCCTGACTTGGGAAAGAACCCCAGTCGTCAGAAGGGAGAGAGGCTGGCAGAGAACGTGGTCATGAAACTGATGGAGTCGTTTTTGGATGATGGGAGAAATGTCACAATGGACAATTTTTTTACTTCACTGTCACTGTCGCACGGACTGCTGCAGCACAAAACAACGTTACTGGGCACAGTGAATAAAGTCTGGCGTGAACTTCCTCAACTTGCGTAGATGTATTCCGTAAGAGCAGCAACACACAGGTGGCCAGTAGCGGTTTTCTACAATATGCTGGACCTGGCGGCGGTGAATTCCTACATTTTGTAAAAGGCATGTACAGGGTGGACAGGCAAAAGAAGATTGTTTCTGAGTCTTCTAGCTCAGGAACTTCGTTGCCGATTCATGCAGCACAAGGAAATATTAGCACAGAGGCAGGCTGCTGCAGCTGCCGTGCCAGGGACTGTAAAGACAACGCAGTGCCAGGTGCTAGAGAGCTGCAACAGGAATCGCAGCAGGTTTACCTGTGCAACATGTCAGAAATTCACCTGTGCCAAATGCAGGGATGATGGACACTGGATCTGCAAACATATATATA